TGGGATAATGAGGGAATAACACACACCTGGCCATGGAATAGCTGAGAAGCCAATTGTCCCATTACTTTTGGTCCTTTAACAAGTGGGAGGCACATATGCAAACTGTTGTAATTCCTACACCGTTCACCTGATTTGGATGTAAATACCCTCAAATTAAAGCTGACAGTCTGCAGCTAAAGCACATCTTGCCAAAAATGTTAGAATTGTGTTGATGTCCCAATATTTATGGACCTGACTGTATATCCAGCCATATTGAAGATTACACACATGGATGATTTGTTTATTGTTTATGAATAATTGGTGGCACATGTTTTTGTGGACTTTGTTATAAATTTAAGTTATGTGTTTATCATAGAGTGTCACTGGATTTTCATTTTTGGATTCACTCAATATTTTATATAATTATTTTTATTTTTTTTTTTTTTTTTCTTCCTGCTATTTATATAGCAGTATAGTCCCAAATTTAGGGATGAGAGCATGGCAATTTATACTTTGGTACATGTGGGCACATGTTTAGCAGTGGTCGCACATTTATGTTGAAGGATTTGTTATAGTCCTTGTAGATTGTCTTATAGTCAGGGCCGATTTATCCTGACCGTCCTATTGTTTGTTTTATAGGCACAATAGTGCCATTTGTCAGTCTGTTTCCACTGCACCTTTGGGCATTTATTTATGCCAAGTGTTTTATAATGTGTGGTTTAATACATGTTTGTGATTTCACCCTGTTTAGGGACACAAGTGGGTTTATGTATTATGTTTTTATGCGTTTTTGCACATTTTTATTTTCTGTCATATGGTTTATCAAACATCACTGAAGAACTGAGTTTGGTATAATTACACACATGAGGATTCACTAGGGGTGTAATTGAAACCTCATTTTTGATTTAATTATTTATATAAGTATGGGAGCGCAGCACCAATTTTTGCTATAATTTTGATCCCATTCTATCCAGGTGTATAGCCAGGTGTCAGCGGCAACCCATTCCTAGAATAATAGTGTATTCAGGGTAGTGCAGGTGGTTCTCCATTATCTTTTTTGGGGTGTCCTTTGGGTTGGGGTACCAGGAATGGCATCAGGAAAATGCCTCTCATGCAGCCGGCTAACTGCATCTGGGTTTGGGGTTTGGGCCATAGCACCTTCTGGATACTAAAGGGCCGTTATGATCTCTTCCTGGAATCTTAGGAAGGATCCACTTCATCCAGTTGCTTTGTAAAGCACAAAAGCGTTATATATAGACAATATGGAGTGGTTTAATGAGAATTTAGAGAAGGGCTTTATCAGACTCTCAACATCTCCTGCAGGAGCAGCCCTGTTCTTTGTTGAGGAAAAAGGACTGCAACTTCTGTCCATGCATCAATTTCAGGAACTTTTGTAAAGGGACTCTTTACCAAATTTAATTTAGGCATATAACCTTGTACGCATTCGTCAAGGAGATGAATGGAAAACCATCTTTAGAGCCAAACATGGGCATTTCGAGTCCTTGGTTATGCCTTTTGGCCTATGCAATGCTCTTGCAACTTTTTAACACTTCATCAATGATATTTTTCGAGACCTGTTGGACCACTTGTCATTGCATATCTAGAAGATATTCTCCTGTTTTTAATTGGCCTGGAGAAGCATCGCAAGCATGTCTGCACTGTATTTGAAAGATTAAGGAAGAACCAACTTTAAAACTGGAAAAGTGTGAGTTTGAACAACCCAGGTACATTTCTTGGGATTTATTTCTTCAGAAGGAGTGAACATGGATCCCAGGAGATCAAAACAGTGGTGAATTGGCCTGCCCTGGAAACATTAGGGGAATACAACAATTTGTTGGATTTGTCAACTTTTACAGGAAATTCATGAAAGATTTCTCAACGGTAATAGCACCAGTTACGCAGCTTACAAAGAAAAAAGTGCCCTCTATATAGTCACCTGAGGCACAGACTGCTTTTAGTAAGCTAAAGACTTTTCACTTCTGCACCAATATTGGTACATCCCGATTCTGAACTACCTTTTTTTTTTTTGTGGAAGTGGATGCTTCAGACTATCCTTTCTCAGCGAAGAGGAGAAAAGATGCAGCTTCATCTTTGTGCATATCTTTCTCTCTTGATTTCGTTAGCTGAAAAGACTTATGACATTGGGAATATGGAGTTTCTGACAATTAAGAAAGCTTTTTCTGGATGAAGGCATCTGCTGGAAGAGGCTAAGCATCTTGTGACTGTTCTCACTAATCATAAAAATCTAGAATTCATCCATTCTTCCAAGAGATTGCCTTCTAGACAAGCACGTTGGTCTCCGTTCTTTTCCAGGTTTAATTTTATCTTTTACCTGGGTAAAGAAATGGTAAGGCTGATGTCTTATCACGGTTGTTGTCTGGGCCTCTCTAGGAATAGAACTCTGAATGCAAGATCCTGCTCAAAAGAACTTCCTAGGGGCCACAAGTTCTAAGACATTCTTGAATCTTCTCAAAGAGGGGTATGATAATGACCCACTTCTCAATCATCCACCTAAGGACATTAACATGGCTTTTTGGATTCAACTCTATGTACCTTATTCTGCTCAGGTTGAAGTCCGCAGGCTGGTTCATGATTCCAAACTTGCTGGGCATTTTGGTGGGAGACAGAAGAACTTTTATCATCTTCCTTTTTGGGGGCCTGGTTACAAGAAAGGTATCAAATGCTATGTGGCCTCGTGCCTGACCTGTGCATGCAATAAGACTCTCCCGAGCTTCTCCTTTGGGGTTGCTTCAGCCACTCCCCGTTCCATCAAGACCATGGAGGTCAATATCTATGAACTTTGTGGTTGATTTACCTCCCTCATTGGAATGACCACCATCTTGGTAGTTGTCAACCGTCTCACAAAGATGGTTCATTTTATTCCAGTTAAGGGGATGCCCACTGCTAAACAAACTGCAGAACTGATGGTTCAATAAGTCTTTAAACTGCATGGAATCCCTAATGACGTAGTGTCTGACAGAGGAGTGTAATTTATTTCAAAATTCTGGAAAAGTTTTTGCTTAGCTTTAGGTGTTAAACTTAATCTGTCCTCTGCTTTCCATCCCCAGACTAATGGTCAGACCGAAAGAGCCAATCAAACTCTGGAGCAATATCTTTGATGTTTTGTCACTTATCTTCAGCATGACTGAGTGGACTATCTTCCTACAGCAGAGTTTGCATTAGTGATGGGCCGCACACCCCCCTTGTTCGGTTCGCGTTTGAACATTTGAACCTACCGAACGTTTGACCGCTAACTTTGAACAGGGACAGTTTGCTGAGGGGTATTTCACCTCATCTGAGTAAAATATGGCAGGAGTTATATTATTAAGTCATGCGGTATTTTAGTAGTGAAACATTCTTTAGTGTTTCAGCTGTCAGCGGGGTTCCCGCTTTCAAAAGAATTGTTGGCGTTGGCATTTTTTTTTTCAAACAGTGTGGGGTCCCCCCCTTCATCCATACTAACCCCTTCGGGTCTGGTATGGATTTTGAGGGAAACCCGCAGGAAAAAAGGGGAAAAAATAGACATGGGGGTCCCCCCCAAAATCCATACCAGACCCTTATCCGAGCATGCAGCCCAGCAGGTCTGGAAAGGGGGGGGGGCGAGCGAGCGTCCTCCTCCCTTCCTGAACCATACCAAGCCAGATGCCCTCAACATTGGGATGTAGTGTACCACATATTCATTCAACTTCACTTCCTACCTTTCATGTGGGTAATAAAGTTTGGTTATCAACCAAAAATTTTAAGGTCCATGTTCCATCTAAGTTGAGTCAAAAGTTTGTGGGTCCTTTTTCAGATTTCTGCTCAAATCAACCCGGTCACCTTTTGCCTAAAACTTCCTGACACTATGAAGATTCATGCTGTTTTTCACATATTGCTACTGAAACAGTTTAATGAAAAACCTTTCTCTAGAAGAATTCTTCCACCTCCTGCACCTATTGAGGTACAGGGTACAGAAGAATTTGTGGTGGAGAAAATTCTTGATTCCAGGATATTTAGGAACAAATTACAATATTGGGTGCAATGGGACAGATATCAGCAAGAAAAAAATTCTTGGGAGCTTGAGGAGAATGTTCATGCCCCTAGATTAACAAGAGAAATCCACCTGAGGTTTGCTCACCAGCCCAGCCCTAAGACATCCAGGGAGGAGAGGAGTACTGTTAGGTCTGGGTTTGAACCCCCAACCTTGCCTGTGGCTGTCGTTAACTCTTCTCACTGAGCTACCTGAGATGCCGGACAGCACCGTGCTTGATCCATTTGACAATCCTGCCTTGTGCTTTGTTTTCTGCTGAACCTTGAACTCTTTGCTCCTCCCATGAACTTCCTGATTTAAGCCATGTCTCTGCACTTCATGTTTGCCACATATTTGTGCCTTTTCCAGCCAATATCTCACTCTTGTCTCTCCTGCTGCCGTCCGTACCCTCCCTGCCACTCATTATTGACCTTTGGCTTGTTCCTCGACTACGCTTCTGCCTGATCCCAACTTGCAACCACTTGTTACCGACCTTCGGTTTGTTTACCAACTATGCTTCTGTTTGATTTTTACCTGCTATATCTACTACTGGACCCTCACTTACTCCCCTCCTGGTGGGGCGAGCCTGAGGACCGTGACCTGATACTAACATGCAGCAAGACCCATCTCCACCATCAGGAGCTCTGGTGAATACCAGTTAGCGCTTAGACCCCAAACCTCAGGTGAGCCTGTGCCCCGTCTGAAAGGGGCCTATAAGACAGCTGTAGTTATCAGGGCTAAAAAAAATACAAAGCTAAATAAAAACAACAAAACACTGGTTGTGACAATAAACAAATAATAAATAATTGTGACAATAAACAAATAAAAAGTAATTCCAAGGTTTTAACCACCTCCCGCCCGCCATATAGTAATATGACGGGCGCAAGGTGGTTCTCTCGTTCTGGGAGGACATCATATGACGTCCTCCATTCTCACTGCGCATGCGCGGCTCAGGGAGCGTGCAGCGCGGCGATCGATCAGTGGTGCGCTGTGTCCCTCGGACACAGCGGATCACGGATCACAGAAAGAGTCGAAGATGTTGGCTCGGTCATGTGATCAGCTGTGTCCAATCACAGCTGATCACATGTAAACAGGGAAATGCCGGTTATCGGCATTTCTCTCCTCTCGAGCTGTCATGCTGACAGAGGAGAGGAGAGCCGGTAATCTGCATTCCTTGGAGGGGACATGTACACTGATCATCAGGACACTGATGATCAGTGTGCCCTGATGATCAGTGTAGCCCCAGCAGTGCCACCTGTCAGTGTCCATCAGTGCCTTATGTCAGTGCTCATCAGTGCCTTGTGCCAGTGCCCATCAGTGCCACATATCAGTGCCTACCAGTGCACATCAATGCCACATATCAGTGCCCATCTGAGCTGCCTTTCAGTGTCACCCATCAGTGCCACCTATCAGTGCTGCTAATCAGTGCCACCTATCAGTGCCTGTCAGTGCCGCCTAACAGTGCCAGTCAGTGCCGCCTATCAGTGCCATATATCAGTGCCATGTATCAGTGCTGCCTTTCAGTGCCCATCAGTGATGCCTGTCAATGCCCATCAGTGCCACCTACCAGTGCCTCCTCATCAGTGCCCATCAGTGCCACCTATCAGTGTCCATCAGTGCAGCCTATCAGTGCCCATCAGTGCAGCCTCCTTCACATCAGTGAAGGAGAAAAATCACTTATTTACAAAATTTTATAACAAAAACTTTTCTGTGGTTTTTGGTTTGTTTAAGAAAAAATAAAAAACCCAGAGGTGATTAAATACCACCAAAATAAAGCTCTATGTGTCACAAAAAAAATGATAAAAATTTCATATGGGTACAGTGTTGCATGACCGCGCAATTGTCATTCAAAGTGCAACAGCGCTGAAAGCTGAAAATTGTCCTGGGCAGGAAGGGGGTAGAAGTCCCCTGTAGGCTGCGGTTAAAGGGGGGCTGCAGACATTACCTAAGCCCCCATCCACACCTATACGACTTTGAACTGTCAATTCCCATGACAAGTCACACCCAATGATTGGCAATGGAACTGTTCTAATTGGTGTGACTCAGACTTGAAAAATAGTTCCTGCACTACTTTTGGTGATTTCGGGTGCGACTTGCACAGAAATCTCTGCATAAAATCGTGCAGATGACTTAGAAGTCGCACCTGAAGTGGCACTGACATCCAACTTTGAAATCGTGCGACTTCCAGGTCGTATTCAGTGTGAACCCTGGCTAAGTGAACAATCTTTCTGCACCATACAGAAATAGTGGAAGAACACTATATATGAAAAAATGAGCTGATAAAGTTGTCCCATACAACATAATATGTCTGCTGTATTCGTGCTTGTTCAGGTCTACACAGTAGTAAGAAGTATATGCAGCAGTGGTGCAGCTAGCATAGCTGACACGTGGGGTGGATTTTTTTTTTTTTAACACCAACCATACTCTTCTACAGTATATGTAACAGTAGTAATCATGAAATTAAAAGAATACTAATGATGGGCAGAACAGAATTGGAGACAGAGAGATTTCCTTTAGCTGAAATAGCAAAAATGTATCCATTCCAGAGACAGTAACATTGGGGATATTCAAAATAATGTTGAAGAACTGTTTTAGTGGGTAAGACATATAGGGGAGGAGTGTGGAGGGTATGACAGTGGGCAGTATGCCAGGGGGTAGCATGTATAGGAGAGGAGTGTAGGGGATATGACAGGGCGGCATGTATAGGAGAGGAGTGTAGGTGGTATGACGGGGCAGCATGTATAGGAGAGGAGTGTAGGGGGTATGACGGGGCGGCATGCATAGGAGAGGAGTGTAAGTGATATGGCAGAGGGCGGTATGTATAGGAGAGGAGTGTGGAGGGTATGACAGGGTGGCAGTATGTATAGGAGAGGCGAGTAGGGGGTATGACAGGGAGTGGTATGTATAGGAGAGGAGTGTGGAGGGTATGACAGTGGCGGTATGTATGGGATAGGAGTGTGGAGGGTATGACAGTGGCAGCATGTATAGGGTGTATGACCAGGCGGTATGTATAGGAGAGGAGTGTAGGGGGTATGACAGTGGGCAGCATGTATAGGAGAGGAGTGTAGGGGGTATGACGGGGCGGTATGTATAGGAGAGAAGTGAAGGGGGTTATGACGGGGTGGTATGTATAGGAGAGGAGTATGGAGGGTATGACAGTGGGCAGCATGTGTAGGGGGTTTGACAGGGGCAGGGTGGCAGCAAGCCATGTATAGGAGAGGAGTGGTGTAGGGGGTATGACAGTGGGCAGCATGTATAGGAGAGGAGTGTAGGGGGGGTATGACAGGGGTCAGCATGTATGTATAGGAGGAGTGTGGAGGGGGTTTGACAGTGGGAAGCATGTATAGAAGAGAAGTGTAGGGGTATGACAGTGGGCAGCATGTATAGGAGAGGAGTGTAGGGGTATGACAGGGGTCAGCATGTATAGGAGAGGAGTGTGGAGGGTATGACAGTGGGCAGCATGTATAGGAGAAGTGTAGGGGGTATGACAGTGGGCAGCCTGTATAGGAGAGGAGCATAGGGCGTATGACAGTGGGCAGCATGTACAGGAGAGGAGTGTAGGGGGTATAATAGTGGGCAGCATTTATTGGAGAGAAGTGTAGGGGGTATGACAGGGGGCAGTATGTATAAGAGAGGAGTGTGGAGGGTATGATAGGGGGCAGCATGTATAGGAGAGGAGTGTAGGCAGTATGCCAGGGGGCAGCATGTATAGGAGAGAAGTGTAGGGGGTATGATAGTGGGCAACATGTATAGGAGAGGAGTGTAGGGGGTATGACAGTGGGCAGCATGTATAGGGGAGAAGTGTAGGGGGTATGACAGTGGGCAGCCTGTATAGGAGAGGAGCGTAGGGGGTATGACAGTGGGCAGCATTTATTGGAGAGAAGTGTAGGGGGTATGACAGGGGGCAGTATGTATAAGAGAGGAGTGTGCAGGGTATGACAGGGGGCAGCATGTATAGGAGAGGAGTGTAGGGGGTATGACAGTGGGCAGCCTGTATAGGAGAGGAGCGTAGGGGGTATGACAGTGGGCAGCATGTATAGGAGAGGAGTGTAGGGGGTGTAATAGTGGGCAGCATTTATTGAAGAGAAGTGTAGGGGGTATGACAGGGGGCAGTATGTATAAGAGAGGAGTGTGCAGGGTATGACAGGGGGCAGCATGTATAGGAGAGGAGTGTATGCAGTATGCCAGGGGGCAGCATGTATAGGAGAGAAGTGTAGGGGTATGATAGTGGGCAACATGTATAGGAGAGGAGTGTAGGGGGTATGACAGTGGGCAGCATGTACAGGAGAGGAGTGTGGAGGGTATGACTGTGGGCAGCATGTAAAGGAGAGGAGTGTAGGGGGTATGCCAGTGGGAGAGAGATGTCTGTCAGCAAGGGGGGGTGTGAGGTGGAAGTGACTGTGTGAGGAATATCTATGGGTGGAGGTGAGTCAGTTAGGGAAGGATGACTTTCAGTGACAGTGTCTGGGGGTCTGAGGGATGCAAGTGGAACAGGCCAATGTAAGGCTTCAAAAATGAAACAAATCCATCAGAGAAATAGCAGCAACATTAGGAGTGGTCAAATCAACAGTTTGTACATTCTGAGGAAAGAAGAACACACTGTTGAGCTCAGCAACATAAAAAGGCTTGGATATCCATGGAAGACAACAGTGATGGATGATCGCAGGATCCTCTCTATGGTAAAGAAAAACCCATTTACAACATCCAGACAAGTGAAGGACACTCTCCAGGAGGTGGGCATTGTTGGTTATGTGTTATAGAAGACACTGGTAGTGATAGCAGAATTCAGACTTTACTTGTGTGGCTTAAGTTACGAACATACAGAGCACATTTCAGCAGACATATTAGACTCGTTACTTCCCTGAAGAGATGATAGAGAAGAAGAAAGAAGCAGCAAGTTTTACACATACACAACTAGTAACCTTTAGCGTACAGTGCCATCTACTGGTCAAGTGATATTACCACAGAATACTGTATATAGTACATTATAGTACATGCTGTTGTATTCCCAACACCCCTTCTCAACGGCATGTGCATAATTATATGACATTTAGTCTCTTTTGTAGAAAACAATTACGTTCCCTTGGCAAAGGTTTGGTGAGTGCGTCTGCAGTCATCTCCTCTGATGGGCAGTACTGGATGTCGATAATCCCTTGTTCTTGCATGTCTCTGAGCAGATGATATCTTACATCATTGTGCTTGGTTCTTGGGTTAATCTTCTCAGAGTGTGTAAGCTTTATGCATCCCTGATTGTCTTCAAAGATGGGTGTGGGTTGTGACATATTCAGTCCCATGTGTAGTAGAAGTTGACGAATCCAAATGGCTTCTTGACATGCATGTGCTGCTGCTATGTATTCCACTTCAGTTGAAGAGAGTGCAACAGTCACTTGTTTCCGACTAGACCAGCTTATGGTTCCTTGTCCATACTGGAAGATGTAACCACTTGTAGATTTGCGGTCAGTGGTGTCTCCAGCCCAATCGGCGTCCACATATCCAATCAGTTTTGGGTTTGACAATGCTGGAAGTCGCAGCTTCATCCGATTTGTTCCCTTTAGGTATTGCATTACCCTCTTTACTGCATTCCAGTCGCGTTGACACGGTGTTGCGACTTTCCTGCAAAGTATTCCCACTGCTAGGGTGATGTCTTGTCTTGTCACGGTGGCGATGTATAGCAATTTTCCGATTGCCCTGCGGTAATAATCATTGTTAGGTAACAAGTTTTCTGTTCCATTGTTTTTTAGATAATCTGGTTCCATCGGTGTTTTCACTTCCTTTGCATCTTGCATGTGAAACTGTTCTAACATTTCTGTAATTTTCTGACTTTGGTTAAGAAGATAGCTTCCATCCTCTTCCCACTCTATTTGAATTCCTAGATAGTGAGTAATGTTCCCCAACTCTTTAATTTCAAAATTTTGTTTCAGTTTGTGAACTATTTGGTCATAGTCCCCTTCTTGTTCAAAACACGTCAAGATGTCATCGACGTATATTAGGATGTATGTCCATTTGTTCTCCTGATTCTTTGAATACAGACATGGATCTGCTTTACTTTTTGAGAACCCTTCTTTTCTGAGTATTTCGTTCACTTTTTCATTCCATGCTCTCGCCGCTTGCTTGAGCCCGTAGATGCTCTTTTGCAGTTTGCATACAAGGTTCTTTTCTTTCTCAAAGCCTGGTGGCTGTTCCATGTACAGATCCTCCTTGATGTCTCCATACAAAAAGGCAGTTTTGACATCTAGATGCTTTACTTGCATTCCCTTTCCGGCAACAATACTAAGGAGTGTTCTTATAGTAGAATGTTTCACAACTGGAGCAAATGTCTCATCGTAATCTTCTCCAAATTTCTGGGAGTATCCCTTGGCAACTAATCTTGCTTTGTATCTATGGATGTTTCCTTCTGCATCATATTTTACTTTAAAAGTCCATTTGCTTCCGATGGTTTTGCGACCAGGAGGGAGTTCTGTTAGTGACCAAGTTTTATTTTCTTGAAGTGATTTTATTTCTTCTTCAGCTGCTTTTCTCCACTGATCGGCTTCCCTTCTC